CAGAGAACTAAGATAACACATACTGTGTGGCCAAAATAATAATAATAATAATAATATTGTGTTTAGTTTTATTTACTGACATGAAATATTCTTGAGAATTGGCTGTACTCAATCCTAGTTGCTTAGGAAAAAACCTCTAAATGACACTAAAACTGAGAAGCAATGATGCATAGGGTAAATTATTAAAAATTAGTCAGGATTTGAGTTATGAGATTAGGATGTGGAGAGGAAGCTGCAGAGGAAGAATGAATGGGAAGCAGAGTGGAGGTGGGGAGACTTATCACACGAGCGGAAATCCTTGTAGGTGATTGAATCTCAGGTCAGCTGAAGCTATACGTGAATTCACTGGAGAGAGGCATGTGCTTTGGGTAGGTGCCTGCCATATCTGACTTTCAGTGGGGAGAAAGGTCTGCTCCATGGGGGATAGGTGAAAAATCATCTCCCTGGTCTGGTGCGATTTGATGCTTGTTTAGGGACTTATTTCAACATCTATGAGAACACTTCCAATATACCAGCCACCTTTTTAAGCAAAGCAGTATTGGTGAAGACAAAAAATAGACAAGATTATTTCAGATAGCAGGAAGATTAAATAGGACAAAATAGCAAGTGACAAGGATTTGACACCTGAATCACAAGAAAGGGCCAGCCATGCAAATATTTAAATAAGAGTGGCGCAAGTAGCAGAAATAGCAAGCAAGCCAAGTCAAAGGCCTTGTGAGGGACTTCCCTGGTGGTCCAGTAGTTAAGAGTTCACCATCCAATGTAGGGGGTGCAGGTTCGATTCATGGTGGGGGAGCTAAGATTCCACATACCTTGTGGTCAAAAAATCAAAACATAAAACAGAAGCAATATTGTAACATATACGATAAAGACTGTAAAAATGATCCAACATCAAAAACAAAAATCTTAAAAAAAAAAAAAAGATGTTGAGAATTGAAGCCACAATGGCTAAAGGAAGTACAAACAAAGGGAAAAATGAAGTCACAGAGGGCAGCGGTCAGAAAATATGGTATAATAGGAAGATACTGTGGATTTAAACAAGACAGTCACTCGGCCTCTTCAAACCCTCAAGTGATTAGCTTTCCTATGCAGGGGATGGATGGGATGAAGGTGAGGTGAGGGAGTAGGGATAAAATGGGAACAGTTAGGCACTAGAATAGTCCACATGGGAACAGCCTGGCCTAGGGTGGTAACTGTAGAGATGAGTCAAGTACAGAAGAACTCAGAAGAACCCACAGGACTTACACAGAGACTAAAAATAGGGTAAGAGAACAGACTCAAGGACTTTATGTCTTTCAGCTTGAAGAAGTATTAGGCAGTGCCCATGAGTGGAACGGTAACAGGTTGAGGGGAAATAGGTTCGGTTGAGAAATTAAGATTTGTTTTCCACAGGTAAACCTGAGATGCTTACTAACAGTTACGGTGGAGCAGCAACTGTGATAATAAATTCTGGCGCTCATGGCTGCAGGCAGGATATAGGGATTTGAAAGATTTCGGAAGATACTGAATCCTACATTTTCTCTTTGGAGATCAGAGCTAGAAAGTACAGACCAGACCTGAGGTCAAGCATAAAAGGAGGAGCTGGCAGTCAAAAAGATGTAAGGAATATCAGAAGTGTGATAGAAGTTTCATAAAGTCAAAAAAAAAAAAATTCAAAAACAAGGAAGTAAGACAGTTGAATGTTGCTAAAGTTATGGGGGCTTCCCAGGTGGCTCAGTGGTAAAGAATCTGCCTGCCAATGCAGGAGATGCGGGTTCAATCCCTGGGTTGGGAAGATCCCCTGGAGAAGGAAATGGCAACCCACTCCAGTATTCCTGCCTGGGAAATCCCATGGACAGAGGAGCCTGGAGGGCTACAGCCCATGAAACAGAAAGTAACCACTGGGTTAGAAACACACAGGACACTGGAGGCTTTGACAGATACAATTTTAAAATACAAACTTGAACTTTTTGCTAAAATAAATTCTACTACAGGGTTCTACCATTATCAAGTGTGGTAAGCAGAGTAATGGCCCACTAAAGATGTCCATATCCTAACCTCTGGAACTTTCGAATGTTTCTTACATGCCAAAAGGGACTTTGCAGCTGGGATTAAGAATCTTGAACTGACTTGGGTCCAATGTAATCACAAATGTCTTTGACATGAAAGAGGGTTGCGGGAGGCTCAGAGATTTGAAGATGCTAAGTTGTCGGCTTTGACGATGGAGGAAGGGACCATGAACCAAGCAATGCTGGGGGCCTCTGGAAGCTGGAAAAAGTAAGGAAACAGATTCTCTCCTACCAGAAGGAATGCAGTTCTGCCAACACCTGCCAACACCAGCTCAGTGAGACTCATTTCAACCTTCTGACGGCCTGGACCGTCAGGTGAGTTTGTGTTGTTTCAAGCCATAAACCTGTGATGTTTGTTACAGAAGCAATACAAAACTAAGACACAAAGGATACCGAACACCTTCTGTTCCCACAGCCTGTCAGGTGCTTTGTATACTTAGCATGTGCAAGGCCACTAAAAACATATCCTCTGTTGTTCAAACAAAAGTAGCTAATGATCAACTCAGTCTGGCAAAAGCCGAAACCTAAAATGACTTAACTGGATGATCTGAACCTAATAACCTAAGAACTGGACAATTAATACAATGCAATCAACCAGAGATCTGACCAACATGAACATTGTAGTTACACAAGTATAAACTATGGTATGACAGAGTTCCATGGCCTGAAATTCAATTTAAAACTTTTAATTGGAGGATACTGGCTTTACAATGTTGTGTTGGTTTCTGCCATACATTCATCATTCACAAGTATACATATATCCCCTCCCTCCCACCTTCCCACGCCACCCCTCTAGGTCATCAGAGGACAGGAGAACCGAGCTCCCTGAGCTAGGCAGGAACTTCCCGCTATCTCCTTTACATACGGTAACATGTTTCCATTCTACTCTGTCAGTTCATCCCACCCTCTCCTTCCCCTATAGCATCCACAAGTTTGTTCTGTCTGGTCTCTATTCCTGCCCTGCAAATAGTTTCATCAGTACCATTCTTCTAGAGTCCATATACATGCATTAATATATATTTTTCTTACTTCACTCTGTATGTAACAGGCTCTAGGTTCATCCACTTCACTAGCACTGACTCAAATTCATTCCTTCTTATGGCTGAGTAATATTCCATTGCATGTATGTACAGCTACTTTTTCTTGATCTATTCATCTGTTGATGGACACCTCGGTTGCTTCCATGCTTAAACTTTTAGAGATTTCAAGCTATCTGCCACTCAGGGATGGTGTTAAGTACACATTTATGTAGGGTCTTTAGGGAAACCTAAGTAGAAGAAATTCTCTTTGGTCACAAACTTCATAAATTGCCATGCAATTTCAAAATTTCAGTCTGGGGCATATAAAGCTCCACTTTATTTACAGTAAGTCAGAGTATGATTAGAGTCTGTGGTAGAGAATACTGCAAAGGATCAGGCATGTGGCAAGCTGACAAGGAAATACACCCCCGCCCCCCTGCCCAGGGGACCGCACGTGGACCATCAGCTGACTCTCCGCAACACACCTCTCTCGGCCCGGTAAGGCAGTCACAGCCTAGCTTTCTCAAAGACTTATTTTTGGGTTGCTTATTTCTTTTAAGGAAAGTTATCAAGGATCATCCACCAGATAAATAAGGAGAGAAAAAGCAATTTGGCAGATATTATTCATTGGTCTGAAGTACTTCCAAACAAGTTCAGTATTCCTCCCACATTATTAAAAAATAAATGTATCACAAATCTAAATTCAGTCGATCCATTTTATTAGAAGGGTGGTAAGAGGGTTTCTTGAGTATCACCTGAACTTAAAATGGTAGTGAAACAGTGCAGGACTAAAATTATCCCCCATTCTTATAAAATCTCTTCTATTTGTGTATATACTCACAAAGGTATACTAATGTGCAATGATCAATTTTAATAGATTTTAGGGGCTAGTGGGATTTTGCATGATTTTTCTGCTATCTTTCTGCTAATTCTGAACTTTTTTTCCTCATAACAAGTATCTATCATTTAAATAAGTCATTTTTTTTCCCTGAAAGTTTTCTTAAAAGGCAGTTCAAGCATTTCTGTCCAATCTAGGAGGGAGAAAGGTATATAAAACTCTACCAAAGCTCATGAAGACTTCAAAAATCCAGTACAAGTAACTGAATTTCAAAATCAGGAAGCAATTTCTGTTCACTACAGATTCTTTAACTGGGTGGTCTCTTGATATGATATAGAGAAACTTTTTGGCCATTTCCATTTATAAAACTACAATCTATGGGGACTTCCCCAGGGGTCCAGTGGCTAAGACTCCACACTCCCAGTGCAGGGGGCCCGGGTTCAATTCCGGGTCAGGAAACTAGATCCCACGTGCTTCAACTAGGAGCCTGCATTTGCAACTGAAAAAATGATCCCAAGTGCCACAGCCAAGACCCAGCGCAGCCAAAACATCCCAACTACTCAAATCTATCAATTTCCCCAAGAAACACACGCAGCATTGTTTTAGAGCCATTTTATTGAGACAACTAAAAACAATTAAGATGTTCAGAAGCAGTGTACAATAAGAGAAATCAAACTGTTACTTTATCATGTATTCCCTCTTCTTTATAACTAAAGCAAAAAAAAAAAGCTTTCTGCTTTTAAGGGAAAAGTCAGAAAAATAGGCCAATATGTTTTCCCTCTTCATAATAACATAAACAGCTACAAGAAATCTAATTGTAATAAGAGAAATTGGATGTTGGCTTACACATACTCATTAAAAAGACAACAGACCATCACACTATAAGACCATAACTCCATCAGCCTTTAGCTGATACTCTTGTGTTCTCACTCATAGGTATCACCAAGTAGGTTAGTTCCAGCACTGGAGCTAATTCATATTCCTCATTATATACTGCTCATGTTGCTGTCAGCAGAGAGTAACTCTGGAGGCGGACGCTTTTCTCTGCTTGTTTAGTCCGTAAGTTGTGTACTGTCTGCGGCCTGTGCCTGATGCTCAGGCCTTAACTTCGGGAGTTGAACTATAGATGGAATCTGAATTCTCTGCAGCAATTTCTTCTACAATTCAAAAACAGAAAGTCTCATTAGTTGACTTAAGGGAGGAAAGAAGCCACTCAATATTTCTGTGAGATTAAGGAAAGAATGAAAAAGTTTTTCAAGTGTGCTGGTGAGGGGAGGCAAAAGAGCACATGCCACAAACGAGAACCCAGGCCGCTAAGAAGCAACGAGGAGAGACTGAACCATTTCCCATCAAACTCTTCCACTCCAGGGGGGTTTTCTCTTTGGAGCTACATTTTCAGTGACTTCAACTGTCTAGAAAACACTGAATTATAAGTCAGATTTTTGAAGATCTGGCTCCCTCCTTTATTGATCTGAATTTCAATCATTATATTTGATCAGAGCACATTACAACTTGTAATTCTATATTTGGGAAAGAGCACTGGTGCTTAACAAGTGTTGTGTAAAAATTACAACTGCAACAGTCTACTTTAGCATCTGCCGCCTAAGTCAAACTCTAAGTCCTTGAAGAGTAACCATATCAGTCACCTCCATGATACATCTCCGTGGCTAGCGCCATGAAGTCGGTATTTAAACGATTTCTTTGTGTATTCATATGTACACATAACACACACACAGGTAAACTCGCTCCGGTCTGCGCACGCTCACACCGCACAGACCCGTCAGTGAGCCCGCCAGCGCGCCCGCCCCCACGCCCCTGCAGGCGCCAGCCGCTGCCGCTTACCTAGCTCCTCTTCCGCTGTCTCTGGAAAGCTGATCTTGGGCTTTGCCAGCTCACCGCTATCTTCTTCTGTGAAAAGAAGAGCAATGACGGTTACATGAATTACAATGTCATGAGCAAGTTCTAGTACTTTAACAGTTAAGAAGAGTACACCAAGACTATGGCAAGCAATAAACTACAAAACACCTTTTTTAATAACTATAATTCTAAAATAGTGTATCTTTCAGATTCATACTTTTAGATCCAAACTATAACGACTTGGGATCAATAACAGTATTTTTATTAACATGTCTACTTTATTAGTAAGGATCAATAAGTAATGTTATTCAGAGATTAATGGATGATTTATTCATCAGGCTACTCTTCGCTTAAACCTTATTCTATAGAAGACAGAAAGAGAGACAGAATCAATGATGAAAAATGATACAAAATTATGAATAAAAATTCTTACCAGGGAGCACACACTTCCAAAGGCCATATGTTTTTCCTACCACAGTCTGCCACAGTCTCAATGTTCCATCTTCAGAACCACTGGCATAGAGTTCTCCATCAGGACTAAACCTCACACAGTGAATAGGACCAAAGTGTCCTTTGTAGGATTCTGAGAAAGACAAGGGTATTAGATAATTTAATATTTAAACAGGACATTAAGTCTTGATACACTAGAGAGGATGTGAAATTTCTGAGGGCAAAGTCAAAGAACTATACCGAATTAAAACTAAAGTGATTCTCATCATAAAAGAACAAAACAAAAAAACAAGACTTCATGTTCCAATTAAGATAAAGGAGACTTCCATGATAGTCCAGTGCTTAAGAATCCTGCTTGCAAAAAGCAGAGGATGTGGGTTTGATGCCTGATCCAGGAAGATTCCACATGCAGTGGGGCAACTAAGCTTGTGTGTCTCAATTACTGAGCCAAAGCCCTAGGGCCCACAAGTCGCAACTACTGAGATCATATTCTCTAAGAAGAGAGACCAGTATGAGAAGCCCAAGCACCACAACCAGAGAAGAGCCCCTGCTTGTCACAATTAGATGAAAAGCCTGCACATAGCACAGCCAAAAACAATAAATTTTAAAAAGACATCTAGAAATCTCTTTTAAAACAAACCAGAAAAAAGATAAAGAAAGGGAGGTAAACGACACTCCACCTTCAAGTCTACAGAAAGCAAGTCTAAAGCCTATCAATTCAATCCCCATTTTCAAATCCTAAACTCACTTCCTATTTACCGGGGAAGCAATTCTTACTATGCCTACAGAGAACCACCAGATGGAGCTCTTTTACACACTCTGCCTCTCGCACTCTCGTAGCAGACGAGCTGGAGTCCACTAGTCATTCCATCACAGAGAGTAAGAAGATAAAGGATCAATACTGATTCTATATAGAGTTTAATGAGAAAATGTACACATTAGTAGTGGTGTTATTCTGTTTAAGGCATATCATTATTTCCGGACTTTTTTCACTTACTTTCTGATGCTTCCTCACCTTACCAGTTTTCAAAACTGTTTACTAGACCAATGTTCTTATTCTGTCTCCATGTCCACTCAACTCAGAGACATTCATGCACTAACTTCTCCCAGGGAATATCATGACTGTGTTATCATGAATATAAAAAATTATCATAAGAGTAGAAAGAATTTGAGATTTTGAAATAAGAATATCTGCATTCAAGGTTCTGTATTCACTAATTGTAACCTCAGATACCCCACAAATAATTTACTTTCTCTCCTTCAGAGAATAAAACATGTGGCCAAAATATTCTAAAACTTGAAAAGTGACATTAAATAAAAACAATGGGAAAGAATCTCTATTTAAGTCACTTAATATTCAACCAATAAATTATGAACACTGAACAATTAAAATATAGTGTATTCACTGAGATTACATTTACCCAACACAATCCATCAGTTTTCCCGAAGAAACAAAACGAAATTGTGTTTTATTCTGTGTACAATTCTAACAAGCTTAAGTTCATTGGACTGTAAAGCAGGATAGCTAGAAAGCAAGCAGGAGCTAAAAAATGGCTAACTGAGGTGTTAATCACTGAAACCTAACCTTTGACCAAGGTACCTACATAATCTTAAGAAAAAAAAAGACAACTTACCTAATTCTTCTCCACTGTTATAATCATACTTATAAAGTTTAAAATCTTCACCACCTGCAACAAGAAATTCTTTCTCAGGATGAAGAGATGCAGAATTGATGGTTGCAGGGGCTTCAAAGGATTTAATTGGGTCCAAACTAGAAAAAAAATTAAATAATATTTGTAAGTTTTGAATATTTCATAAATAATATGAGGAAATGATGTTACATTTAAAATGTTCCTAAATTCTAAAACTTAAGGACTAATCCAATATCCATTTAGTCAAACATACTGACATATGTGAAGAGGACAGAGGAGCATGGCAGGCTACAGTCCACAGGGTCACAGAGTCAAACACGGAGCAGTGACTGAACAACAAAGTGCTGCTAAAAAAAAAAAAAACCCTCTAGGTGTGGAAAAAAGGGAACCCTTATACACTGTTGGTGGGAATGTAAGCTGGTACAGCCATTATGGAGAACAGTATGGAGGTTCCTCAAAAAGCTAAAAATACAGTTGCCATTATGATCCAGCAATCCCACTCCTGGGCATGTATCCACACAAAACTATAATTCAAAAAGATACAGGCATCCCTATGTTCACAGCATCACTGTTTACAACAGCCAAGACCTAGAAACTAAATGGCCACTGACAGATGGATGGATAATGAAGATGTGGTACATAAATACAAAATATTACTCAACCATAAAAATGAATAATGTCACTTGTAGCAACATGGGGAACTAGAGATTATTATTCTAAGTGAAGCAAGTCAGAAAGAGAAAGACAAATGCCATAAGGTATCACATATGTGGAACCTAAAATATGACACAAATGAACTTATCTACAAAACAGACTCACAGACAGGGAATGGACCGGTGGTTGCCAAGGGGGCTGGGGGATGGGGCAGGGAGAGTAGGAGTCTGGAGTTAGCAGATGCAAATTATTATACAGAGAATGGGTCAACTAGGCCCTACTGTAGAGCGGAGGGAAATATATTCAATATCCTGTGATAAATCTTTAACGGAAAAGAATATAAAAAAGAATGTGTACGTATGACTGAATCACTTTGCTGCACAGCAGAAATTAAATCTTAAAAATCAACTATAATTTTTAAAAGAGGAAAAACACCAAACAAAAACACATCTAAATAATATTAGGGGGAAAAAAAACAGAAGGCTACTATGCCCCAGTGAAATGCATCCCCAAAATACACAGCCCCTTCCATAGAGGGATATCCATTTTGTGCAGTGAATGCCTTCCTGGAAATGATTAGGTTGGCTAATGAAAACAGTATGGCTAATATATTAGGATTTTTGCTTTGAAAAAAAAAATTTAGCTCTGCTTTGTTTAATTTTTCCAGGACAAACATGCATTATCTTTGTAAATAGAAGTTTTTACAGCAAGTAATTAATATAAAGGAGTATTTGTATATTATTTTTCAGTTACTGAGAACTTGTAAGTTTCTGCAAAGGAAAAAGCTTTAATGCTGTTAAACATAAAACTGCTCAAAATGGCTCAGTTTTATTTATCAGGCTATAAAATAATAACCAAATCTGAGACTAGAGCTACGTAATAAAAATCAATGCATAACAATAGCTTCCCCTGAATATCAATGAGTTTGGGCACCGGCTCTTTTCCAGCCTAACCCTAAAAATCCTGAAACGCTTCCAACACAAAACATTAGAGCATTTCAGCTCCGAAATGTTGCCATCCTACTCCCATCATCACACGCTACAAAGCATGAAAATGAAAGTTAGTCATGACTTACGCAGGATCACTGAATAGCAACTTTCTGGCTCAAATGGCAGAATATTTAATAGGCCAGGAAACCTCCACCACCATTTCAGGCAAGGTTCTACAGCAGGGCTGCACGCTGCCTGAGTCCAGAAGCAACCAATGAGCTCAGCTGCATAATTTAATGGTTTTGGGCAGTAACATTCCATTATTATCAATTCACTGTGTGTTTGTGTGTGTGTGTGAACTCTCTAGCATTCTTAATTGCTCATCTCCATCTTGATTGCCTTCTCATTTCTTAGGCCATTCAGTGAAGCTCAGCTCTGCAAGTGGCCCTTTACAGAGAAAAGGTCAGGACTGCTGGTCAGAATATAATGTGGTACATTCTTTATGGAAATCAAATAAGTGGTATGTACACTGGGAACTTTAAACACATTCCTACCCTCTGTTTTGTTTAAACGAGTTTATTCAGGGGTTCCATTTTTACTCCTCAATAGATTTTCTCTATTTCTCACATGCTTCTTCACCCATCAGTTCATTGAATTCTGGAGAGTTACTCAGTGTGGCCCTCATCTTCATAACAAGATCTGTTGACAAGTCCTGGCTTTTCTGCAAGAGCTTCATTAATTTCACTTACTTCTCCTAATAGAGAACAGAGCTCACCAGTAGTTTTCACACTTTCCAAAGCACCAGCTCATCTTGTCTGTTCAACTTTGTTCCAAGTTCAGGCAGACTAAACCTCTCCCAAAGATTCCTGTGAAAAATTGTTGATCCCAACTATTCCAACACCATCTTCTGTTGTTATCCACTCATGTTTCTCTGTGATTTTACCCACCCGAGAGCAGTGCAGTGTGTGGGAGGCTCCTGTCTGGGGCTGGGATGGGCAGGCAGAGGCAGGCGACAAAGCTGCACGCAGGCTGCAGACTGTGCCAGCCGTAACATTCGTGACCTCTAAACTGGTAATTCTACTGACAGGATTCTCTTGTGAAGAAACATGCAAGAGATGTATCATAAATCTCACTGCAGAGTTACAAGAGAGGAACTAACGTGTGACGTGGTAGACTCTATAATGCCTCCCCAGTGGCTCAGATGGTAAAGAATCCGCCTGCAATTAGGGAGACCTGGGTTCGATCCCTGGGTTGGGGAGATCCCCTTGCGCAGGGAACGGCTACCCACTCCAGTATTCTGGCCTGGAGAATTCCATGGACTGTATAGTCCATGGGGTCGCAAAGAATCAGACTCGACTGAGTGACTTTCACTCACTCAGACTCTATAATAATACACCTAGTAAAAATGTTTTCAAAGAATTTTAATGGCTAAGAGTATCTTAGAATAAAAAAATGAAAATTATACTTATTAGGGTCCTAGCAACTAAAGAAAAAAACACAAACACACACACACCCCCCAAAGAAAAAAGACTAGCAAAAAATACAGCTACCAGTAACTGTCTGGTTCTATGGCTACAGGATTATACCCAAGTTTTTCAAAATTATATTTTCTAAATTTCCAACATAAGCACTTAATATATTTATAGTCATAAAAATTAAGTCTGCTTTTAAAAAAAAATCATTAAATCTATGCCCTACTTGGAAACAGAAAAATCACTAATTTTTCTGAAATTTTAAAGTGAAATGGCAGAATCAAGATCACAGAGGTTTTAGAGTAATGAACAATATAAATTATAGCATCAGTCTAGGGATCTTTAAAGAAAAATATACATGAAAACTTGTTACATTTTACCAATATATGTCCCAAACACCTGGAAATTAATCTGATTAATTCTTCTGATTAAAGCCTACCGAATTTTCAAAAAACTCACCATTGTTAGGTATGGAAACAATCTTCCTCCATATGACCTCCCATACGCCAAGATTTGCCTTTAAAAGCATGAAATGCCCTAGTACCTGCCTTCCAAATGCTAAGTGCACTAAATACCTTAGTACCTGCCTTCCAAATGCTAAGTGCACTAAATGCCCTAGTACCTGCCTTCCAAGTGCTAAGTGCACTAAATGCCCTAGTACCTGCCTTCCAAATGCTAAGTGCACTAACTGCCTTAGTACCTGCCTTCCAAATGCTAAGTGCACTAACTGCCCCTTTGTTACCAGGAAAGAAAATGAAGACACTTCTCAGACATACCTTACTGCACTATGAAAAGCAATAGATCGTCCATAAGTTATTACCAAAATCTCTCCCTCAGGAATGTATTCCATACTGCTAACGGACATATTAAAATTTAGAGATTTCACTTCCGTCATAGTAGCATGATCCCAAAGGCTGCATAAAAAAACAAAAGAAGGTGGTATTTACTCACTTAAGAAAAATACTTACAGTTTAAATTACACCTGCAGATTAACCAATGAAAAAAAATACCACAACTGCAGTAAAACAACCTTGACTCCAATTCACAAATTACAGATGATACTGAGAAATGTGGCTTTCGCATAAAACATCAAATTATTTGGTAGCTTGTTGGTAAAGTCAAAACTAATACTTTAAATATACTTCCCAAGTGATTATGCTATTAAGATATATCTCCTAATCTAATCAATTTCAGCATTGCTCTAAAGGTTCTCATACTCTATTTTTGTGAGTCTGATGATAACTATCTTTCCACAGAAAAATACAGTTCACAAAACTTTGTATAGAATTTCAGGGATATAATGGACATGCTATGGCCAGGCAGTTCATTCACCCAGGTTAAGAGCACCTGCTTTTATAAAGATGTCAATAGCTTTAATTGAGTCTTGTGAATCTCACTCTATGTTTATAGCAGACAGCTCTGAAAAAATGTGACCCAGATGCAGCCACAGTTGTAATGTTCAGACACAATTCTTCCTACATGATAGTTACAGAAAACTTAACAATAAGCTCCAAGGTCAAACATATTTTCAAACTTTAAATTATTAAAGAAAAATTACTCACCGAACAGTTTTATCATCCGCTGAAAGGATCTGTTTATCCTCACTGCACCACAAAGCTTTTTTAATACCAGAGGTGTGACCACTGATTTCCTTAGGTTCTTCAGATAAAACAATTTAAAACACAATTGTTAATAAACTTGCTATGTCTGGGCAAAAGCAGATGTTGCAGGCAATACCATTCAACACAACTTTGACTTTGGGCAAACCACTTAACCTTTTGAAGACTACACTTCATCACTGGTAAACTGGGATTAACAAGTTACTGTACCTCAGAGTTTAAGAATCAAAACATTTAAAGTTGCTCCCCCTGCCCTGCACCACCACTTAAAAGAGAAAGTTACTACAGATATCTTACATTAAATTCCCCGAAGCGACAATCTCTATTCCCAAAGTTTTGTGTGTGGGAATTTGGAGGCTGGCCAGTGGTGGGCAGGTCCAAAGAGACAACACTAGACCAGTACTATGATCCCAACTTACTCTTTGGCCGCATGATGTTTGTGTGGATAGCAAGAGCTGAATGCAAAACACAGACAGACACTGCTATCAGACACAGATGAAAACCGTGCACACGTTATAGCAGCCACCACCTGAAGTTTCTAATCTGTTGTCGGACAGAGTAAAAGCTCCTCTTTCTAATGCAAGACAGTGGAAGAGTCACCTTCAAAAGGCAGCTCTGAGAAAGGAAGAAGACCCTTGAACTATCCTGCTGAGTCAGAAGGTACACTGATTTGGTGAGGTCAGAGTAGTCTGCTATGTTTTAGCATAAAGTTATTAATCCCCAGATACCAAAGGAGAATAAACCATAAATGCAGTTTGTTTCCTCACCTTAGAAGTACCTTTAGAAAAGGTATCTCAAGGATAACTGCTTAATTTCCAACACAGCTTTGACTTTGTTATAAGCTCCCAAAGCTTACTGACTTATGAATAAACTATGCCCACAATACAAAATTTAAGAACCCAATTAGTATATAATAAGTAAATTAAAATGGTATTCAACAGTATTTTAACCTCATGAATTATTTTTCAAGTTCACATTAATAAGAATTTTTCTATTAAACTGGCAAAGGTAAAGCTAGTTATCAGTGTTTGCTAGAACAGGTTGGCTAAAGGTACATTTTTGTATTTCACTGGTGGCCTCTTTGGTAATAATATCTATTAATGGCTTCCAAGTATATCTCCTTTTTGTCTCAACAATTCTATTTCTATGTAGATATTCTACAGAAACAATTGTGGAATATTTGCAACTATTAGGATGTTTAGCACAACACTGCTTATAATCTTTAAAATTTGTAAATAGCCCAAGCAGGCCATAATAGGAGATTGGTTAGTTTGCTTATCCATAGAATGGAAAGTCACACAAGTCGTTAGAAAGAATGAATAGAGTATTTAAAGACATGAAAAAATTACTACAGATTTTAAACCTTCTTCTGAATAGCTGATACACCCATGTGGTTCAAAAATCCAAGTATGTATATACATTGAGAATTCTTACCCTTCTCACCTTCTACAGATAATAACCACTCCTTCTAACCAAAAGGTAATTAACACTATTATGTACCTTTTAAGACTTAGTGTCATAATAAAAGTCTATCAGGATAAAATTTTTTTAAGATAGTACTAAAAAAAAATCCATTTTTAAAAAATATCTGCATTAAAAAAAAAGACTGGAAAAACATGAACCCAAAACTAAAGACATTAATTAATAATCCTGGATGAGGAGACTTTCCTGGTGGTCCAGTGGTCAAGACTGCACTTCCAATACAGGGGGTGTGGGTTTGATCCCTGGTCAGGGAATAAAAGATGCCACATGACTAGGGGAGTGGGGAGTGGGGATGGAGTGGATGGTGGATTAAAATTTAATTTTTTCTTTGTGACTACATTTTCCTAATTTGAGTACTGAACATGAATTCCTTTAATCAGGAAAAGTTATTTAAATTAGAAGGAAACAAAACCACAAATACATATAAATTAAAATTACCTGCTTCAGGTTTGTTCAAGTCATATATGCGTAACAGTTTATCCTGTCCTCCGGTTAACAAGTAATTACTATCCTGAAAACACATACAAGTAAAATGGTATTAGATTAACTACTTTAATAGTTATATCTCTTTGCAGCTTCTTCAACACTACATAAAATGCAAATAAAGCTCACAGATGTTACAAAGAGATGCACAGAGACCAATTATTCCTGAGAAAATACTATAAAGCATTTATCTTTCTCATAATCGCCAAATCCTGTAAGCTTCCCAGTTCAAAGGTCACACCACCAACCACATGGCTTCTCTCAGTTGGCTCAGCTTCCGCTGCCTACTGAGTAGTGTGACTGTGATGATCTCAAATTTACCCTCTCCCTTCTAAGTCACTGGGAAACATTACTTGGGTTTTTTAGATGTTTGTTGCTATTGTTGATACAAGAGTTCCAGGGTTCTTAAAAATCTCATAGGATCAACCAAGAAGAAATACAGTTGACTTAAACAACTCAGGGATTAAGGGACCCATCCTCCACACAGTGGAAGATCCACATATCAATTATAGTCAGTCCTCTATATATGTGGTCCCCCCTCCCACACTCAGTTCCTCCATATCCAAAGATTCAACCAACTGCAGACTGTGTAATACTGTAGTATTTACCACTGAAAAAAATTCATGTTAAGTGGACCTGTACAGTTCAAACCATGTTAATCAAGAGTCAACTGTAAAGGAATATAGTTTAATCTAGAGTCAAATCAAATGTAAGTCACCATATACAAAATACTCCCCCACAAAATCAAACATGAACTAAATACAAACCAATCAAATATAAAACCACAGCCATATCCTATAATAACAGCAATTTAACTCCCTAAACAAACTCCACTTTCTAATACCTGCGTAAAATCCACTGTCTTGACAATGTGTTTATGAGCCAGGGTCATCAACTCATCTCCTGAGACAGCATCCCACACTTTGCTAAAAGTAAAACATAAAAGACAAACATATGGCAATTTTGATAATTAGTTACCAAATAAGTTAGATATTTGAGATGTTATATAAATGTATAAGATTAAAACGATATAGCAATATAATTTTGACAATGGAAAAGATCAAATTTAAGTAAATAAGACCCATGAACCAGAAATCCTTCCTTTCCTTTTAGCCTCTAGCCATAATATCCTTATAACACGACTGCAAACATTTTAACCAATTCAGTTTCACCTTTCCAATTTTTTTAGTCTATACTCGTAATACACGAGAATCAAGAGATGAAAAACAATAAATACTTCAAAAAATTTTTACAGGAGAATAAAAAGCCTTGACGAGAGATTACATAAAATTTTCAATCAAGACAGTAGAGAAAAAAATACTCTCCCATCTCTTCCTCAAAGGTGACTTGAATTTTCAAATCCTAGTCCAATTAACTTCCACACAAAGTACAGTCTTTGATTACATAATGCTAAGGTTGAGGGGTTAAATGTTGTAGGTTTTCAAATCTCTCAATTGTAGGTTTTCCAACAAACCCATCCCAACCCAAAGTATATGTGTGGTTGTGTGTCTATTCACACATATCTATGTATGTGTATGCTGGGGGATAATGATTAAATAACAGTTCACAGAAATACTGTTAAGAAGATCCCCCAAATAAAAAAGTTTGAACAATAAAGAAGAAGAAAAAAAGTTCATTTCAGATCAGAAGAGGTGACTGAAAAATAAACAAGAAACCCTTCCACATGGGAAAAAGAAATTGTCATGAGGAACAAGCTACCCTCCATAATAATTATTCTAATAATTCCATTATAATGTAACTGACATTTATTTTTAGGAATAAAGTGAACAATGAAATAGAGAAAGCAAGGAGTATTTTTTCTTCACTCATTAAACATAGAATAAACATATCAAGTATGTCACTCAAGACTCAGTGCTAGAGCACAAAAGGGAGAAAAAAAACATGATCCCAAAGTTCCTGCCTCAGAAGTGTTAGCTTTAGCAGAGAAGAAGAAGAAAAAATATATATATATATATGTGTGTGTGTGTATATACATTAAATAATATGTTTAAGAAATCTAATTAAAGGACTTCCCTGGTGGCCCAATGGTTAAGAATCTGCCAGGTGATGCAGGAGACATGGACTCCATCTGTGGTCAGGGAATTGAGATCCCAAAAGCCGGGGAGCAACTAAGTCAGCAAGTCACAATGAAAGATACTGCATGACACAATGAAGGTCCGGAGTGCCTCAACTAGGACCCAGCCCAATGCAGTCAAATAAATAAATTTAAAAAAAGAGAGAGAGAAGAAATAAAAGACAAACACACATGGATATAGAGAAAACAAACAAAAACCACACCACCATGTATGTCAGAAAGTCCAGAAGATCTAAGCATCAAAACCAGTAGTCTTACAGAGCATGTAGAAACATACCAGGGGAAAAAATAGAAACAGTGTAGAGGAGTGTAACAGTATGTGCAACTTAAAGAAACATGAGGCATCTAACAGGAATAAACACTTATGATACAATATAAATCTTGGAAATCATAGACATGAGTCATGAATGGCTGAGTAAATATGTTCTGAGAGAAAAAATGTCAACTGTGAGTGGTATTATACTAACTCTCAAATGTTAATTTCTCTTTGCACAGGAAACCTATTCCACCCTCTCCCATTTCCAATTCAACTCTCTGGTCCAACCCTACTTTCCCAACCTCATTTCTACGTGGTCTGTATTTTTATCATCTTAGGTTTCCCTGGTGGTTCAGTGGTAAAGAAGCCATTTCCCAATGTAGGAGACAAGGGTTCAATCCCTGGGTCAGAAAGGCCCCCTAGAGAAGGAAATAGCAACCACTCCAGTGTTCTTGCCTGGGAAATCCCATGGACAGAGGCATGGGGTCGCAACAAGAGTTGGACACGACTTAGCAACTAAGCAGCAGCAACAAACTTTACATTCTCGGCTAAACCAGTTCTACTCATCCTCAGGAGTCATCACTAATGCTATTTTTTCACTAAATCTTCTATTTTTCTCACTTCCATCAACCATTCCTTTCTGTTCTTCCACAGAACTCAGCTTATACTGCGTTTAATTTTACTTTACTTTTAGTTTTGTCCACATGTTTACTCTTAATCACAGGGAAATCAGTTTTAAGAGTTCACACAGATTAGACTGCTATAACAACAGAAGGTATCAAAGGGCTTCCAAAGTGGCTCAGACAGTAAAGAATCTGCCTGCAATGCAGGAGACCTAGGTTCAATCCCTGGGTCAGGAAGATCTCCTGGAGCAGAGAATCCCCATGGACAGAGGAACCTCGCAGGCTACAGTCCATGAGGTTGCAAAGAGTCGGACATGACTGAGCGACTAAGTACATCAAAAGTGAAGAAAACATCAAATATACTTGAAATCTCTATCCTATTCACAACACTCTCAAGTCTCAAATAAACTGGGCGATGTCCTTAGAGATACAGATTTCAAGGATATTCAGTCATCTTCCCCAAACTCCCCAAAATCTAATTATTCTGCTTAGATCATGTCCATTCATTGTTGCAGAGGCAACTGGAGGGACTGTACTAGTACCATCCAGAGGACCAACCCATCTACACTCGCTTTCCTCCCACTTAGATACATTAGTAAAATCGAGTGCCACACTCCCCAACAGAGCATGTTCTAGTCACTTGTACTAACTTTGGCACATTTCCATTATTCACAATAAGAGTCCTAAAAACAGCTTAGAATCCTAAAAGGAACCTGGAATAACCTAAACTCCAGGCAAGAAACCGGTTATTAACTAGCTGGCTACAGGGATCAAATCAGAGCAGGGGAAAGGACATCCTACACAGAGCTCCCCTGAGAGAAATGGCAGGAAGGGTCCATAAAGGAAGATGCTTAATGAAACATCATTAACAATACCCTCTCAACAGCTGATCCTATAGCATTCATTTCTGTACAACTCAAGATGTACCTGCCATCTTCATGAACTAGTGATACCTCTTATGTCCCCAGTTTTTTTGCATGTGATCAATGCTATCTGTTCAATACTTTTCATATTCTGAGAAAGGACTCACCAGTCTCAAAAGAGTGGCTGCTTAACTTACTTCTTTAAGGCCTTAACAAAAAATTAAGCTATTTCGGGAAAATGACTGCCTATCTTAACATGACGGCCAAGCCATCAAAAAGGAGACAATAGCACCTTTGATTTATTGAGAACCTTATTCAGAGAAAATTTAGCTCTTCCTGTGGGCTTTTTACAAGAAGACAAAAAAAAAAAAAAAGAGGATCAGGAGATGTGGTGGTAACATTAGCTCTATGAATTAAAAGATATAAAGAGAATGGTGTTTCAGGGACAGTTTCAGCTGACTTTTCAGCTGCCTGCCCAAATTACCTCAAGATAACACTCCAAACTGTCACACGGACCAGCCCTGCTGAGTATACTTTCTCTATAAGAAAAACAGACAAAATTCTCCTTTCGATAAACATGACACCTAAAATTACACTAAGGAGCTCTTCTTTACTGGGTCAAGTTCCATAACAGCAGAGCCCATACAGGTCATTAAGTGAGAATATAAAGAAAGGATGCACACATCCCCACACTTCAGACAGACACACAACAAATGAGGGTTAAGTCTCAGCTCCCACTAACCAAGCACCTGCTATGCAACAGACACGAGGCTAGATTCAGGCACGTAAGTGGAAAAAAGTCTCTCTGACTTGCCCCCAAACCACGCTTGGCTTACATTCATTTGACAAATATGAAACAAGAGGTTTAAGAAACATCTCATGATCAAACTGAAAATACAAAGTATGGCTAGCACATGAACTCAGGCCTTGTTTTTTAGTTGCTCAGTTGTGTCTGACTCTTTTGTAGCCCCATGGACTGTAACCCACCAGGATCCTCTGTCCATGAGATTTCCCAGGCAAGAATACGGGAGTGGGTAGCCATTTCCTTCTCCAGGGGATTTTCCTGACCCTCGGATGGAACCTATGTCTCCTGCATTGGCACAGGTTCCACTAAGTCACCAGGGACGCCTGCTTAATGCAAATGCTTACATCTTTCCCACTATATCATGGCACCTGAAAGCCTGAACTGAGAGGGAAAAACCCAAAAGTATTCCCTCTTGCTACTTAGATCTACTAGAACTTCCTTGCATGAAACCCAAAGGTTTCTTGGCTTTAGCCATAGATGTTCCAAAAGAACACATGATTTTGGTCTGTTGGGGTGGTAGCTATCAGTGTTACCTTACACGTTAGCATTTACATAGCTACTAGATTTCAGGTAATATGATAAATATAAACATATCAACTCATTTAATATTCACAACGAATGAACGTCTCTCAGTTGTGTCCGACTCTGCGACCCCATGGACTACACAGTCCATGAAATTCTCTAGGCCAGAATACTTGAGTGGGTAGTCTTTCCCTTCTGCAGGGGATCTTCCCAACCCAGGGACTGAACCCAGGTCTCCCAAGTTGCGGGCAGATTCTTTACCAGCTGAGCCACAGGGAAGCCCATTCACGATGAGAGGTAGGCACAATTGCTATTCTCACTTTTACAGATGATGAAACTGCAAAAGAGAGAGGTTAAATAAAGTTCACAAGATCACAGAGCTATTAAAGGATGGAGCCAGTGTTCAAACACAACCTGGCCCCAGCATTCATGTTTTTAATAACCCCGTGTAAACACAGACACTAAGACCTGAAATGTTAAGAAAGTCCCAAAAAAACCACTGAATATCTATACAGAGAAACGTCCTCAAATGTATGACTTGGGTTATTAATGCTGTTAGTGACCTAAAAACAAAGATAACTGTACCTCTGGCAGCAAGATAAAATCTTGACTACTCTTTTCAGAACTCTGTTAAGTATTTAAAGTGACCTATTTTTCACACCTTTTTCTCTCTCCATTTCAGAGTAATTATCACATGAGCAGTAATTTCTATCTAATGCATTTCATTTCTTTCCTAAGGGCTGGCATTACAATTTGTCAAATGTGCATCAGGTCTTCACAGATTTTACAGAGATGGGTATCATTCTTAACAAGCTTCTGTACAAGTCTCAGATCAGAGCAAGACTGTCCATCAGGCAAGAGACGACAGAGCATTTTGCTCATGTCATTAGCACTCATGTTTGAGCCAGATAACACAGAACTGAGATTAACAGAAATGAATCTCTCCAGAAATGCAATTTAAAAGATCGTCTATTTTAATTCTAATGTCTGTAGTGTCTAAGATCTTGTTACATTTTACCCAATCAAATTTAATTTAAAATATCACTTTATTAACTATTAACTTAGCAAACTGGAGACCTAGTTTCAATAATGACATTTTTAAAATCCACTTAACAAATATCTGAAATCTCCTGGAGAAGGAAATGGCAACCCACCCCAGTATTCTTGTTTGGAGAATTCCATGGACAGGAGAACCTGGCAGGCTACGGTCCCTGGGGTCACAGATCGGACACAACTGAGCGACTAACACACACAAAGTTGTTAATTTCAATTTTCTATCTCTGTTATGAAACCAATGACATTCTCTCCCAATGACAATGTTCCTAATGGACTCAGCAAAAAATAAACTTTGGAGAAACTGAAGGGAAAAAAAAAATAGGTTGAACTCACAGGAGACATAAATGTCTCAGAAACAAAACCAAGATCTCTAATTCATCCATTCTTAGTTCCTTCTGCTTCAGAAACTTCCTTAAGTTATTTGTTTGACAAAGTGCTGAACAAGCCAGGTATACAAAAAAATATAAGACATGGCCCATGGCCTCAAGAAGCAACAACACATAAGTCAATAAGTACTGTAAGAGCCAGAAGTTTAACACAGCCAACAGTGTGAGCAAAAAGAGGGAATGGACACCCTCGCCTTCCAGTCCTCCACAAATCTTCCTTGTGTGAGAATCACTTTTGCTTCCTATTTTTCACATCCCATAATTAACAAAGGAGTCTGTCACATTTTAAGCATGCATGCTGACCTCTAAAGCAACATTTGACATTAAAGGATTTACATAAAACCAAGTAGTTCCTTATTTTATCAGAATTGCATAGAATCACAAGAGGGCAGAGCACAAACCCTTATGATGGCTATGCATAAACCTAACACATCTATTCCTTGAAGGCAAAGAAAAAAGTTCAAACTGACATTTTAACTTTTCTTACTGATCTCTCATCATCTCAAATTTAATCCCACATGAGCATGGATTTTATCTCCGTTTATTTAAAAATTCTATTAAAAAATTATGTATTGTAAAACTCACTCCATGGCATAGAGCTCTACAAGTTTCAACAAACATATAGTTATATATGCACCACCTCAATCTGCCTTCATTTTTCATAATAAACCTAGTATGTTTAATTTGCTTAATACAAAGGCGCAACAAACACATTTACAATTGCTCCTTAGTGTAAAATTTTTTAAACACTTTCATTCTTGAGACTCTCAACTCTAACAGTCTACTGCATGTACAACAACCCTTGATGTTGTCTTCCTTAAAACATTTAAGTGTCTGCTAAGTCACAAACATTAGGAAGTAGAGGTACCAAGGTTATATAAGATATGATACAGATGAGCAGACGGGAAAGTGGGTCATTGGCAAGTCAGGTTAATAACATATGCAAAAGCCAAAAATCAGCATAAGGAAGGTCCATTTGGGCAACAAAGAGTATAACCAGATTGTGGGGCACAGGGTGTGCAGTGCAGATGATGATGGTGAACTAGGATGGGCCAAAGTGTAAAGAGGCAACAACTGAAATTTAACCTTTAGGCGGGTGATTAAAGGCTGCACATCAGAATCACCAAGAACTTCTGGCAAGGAAATTGTTGTTGGTGATTTTATCGCTCCCCCCCGCCACCCCCATCCCCAAACCAATATGTACATGAGTACTTTAAAAGCTTGTAATAATGCACACCCAAGGTCAGGGATCACTGACAAAGCAGAGGGAAGACAGGAAAAGCATTAGCTAGAGAAGTGACCTGATGATATTTGTGTTCAGGAAGACAACTGTCAGCACCAGGGAGGATGAACAGATGGGAAACGACTAGTGGTAGGGACCTGAACTAAGATGGCAGTGCCATAAGGAATAATGTCATCAGCAGACATTCTGCTGGTGGAATCAACAAAAATGATGATAATAATCAAGATGCAAGGGAAAAATTAAGAACAATTTAGATTTCACCCTAACACAGAATGAAGTCATTTGAGTCTCTGTGAACAGTTTGAGAACCATTTAAGAGAATGAAGCAGGTAGGATCAGGTTGGAATTCTGGTGAGATCAAACACGGCGTGTTCCATATGGAAGGCAGTGAGAATTTCACGAGTAACCTTTAACGACGTTTTGACCATTTCAGAGCACAATCCAGAGAGAACTCCGAAGGTGGCCATTTCTGGCTGCACTTACGCTGTGAAATCTGCAGCGGCTGTCGCTGCCTTGGTGGCATCTTTATTCAATGTTGCGCCCCAAACGGCACCCTTATGACCCAAAAATGTTCCAATCCAGTCTCCTGTATCTCCCTGGCGAAGCATAGGCTTACCATCTAAAAAATATTGAAGACGACATGTGACTTAGAAGTTCGGAGGACTTAAAATCTAAGACTCAAACATAAAACGATCATATTGAAAAACAAAGTGGAAATTGCTTTTGTTGTCTGAACTATTCTCACTCACTGGGGTCACTAAGGATCGTTCAGAAATAAATTCAATGACGAACCCAGCCGCACATTCTCTCGGGGAAGCATTTGTAGCTAGGTGAAAAGATTGACCTGCGTCAAAACAATCTAGATTTGAGTCTTATTTTGGGCAAACTTCTTAACATAAATCTCAGCTTCCATCACACACCCACACACATACAGCTTCCATCTGAAAGATAGAAAAAGGAAATGAAAAATTCCATAGGACAAAAGACTATTCAGTGAGATAATAGGAGTGCTACGTCTTCGTAAAATAAGGCCTGGCCTAGTTGCTACATTCTGCCAAATTCTTGAGAGATATTTACACTGTTTGTTGGCCGGGACGTCTAAGCAAGCGCACAGTTCAGCTTCTCCAGAAATAGCAATAAAGGTAAACTGAGAAGCCTTCGTTAGGGGCATTACTTAGCAAAGCCTCTCTTGGCGTCAGCTGCGGGAGCCCTAACAACTATTCCTCTCCCCATCAGCCCGCCGTGGGGCCCTAACCTCAAACGCTGCGAGAGCCGCAGTTCGTTCGGCAATGGGGATGCCAACCTCGTTCGCTTTCCGCCCGACCTCAGCCATCAGGGGCCCAACTAGCGGCCCCGCTCACCTTTGCAAGCGCTGATTAGAAAATAGCCATAAGGCGTGATGCCACTGAAGGCCAGATCCACCACAGGCCGCGTGTGGCCGGAGCAGGTGAGCGGCGTCTGCCTCATCGCCATGGCGGCGGCGAGCCTAGCGATCCGGCTGCAGAGCCGAGGGGTCGTCTAGTCTTTTCTCTCCTCTGTGGCAGCGCCTCCGGCTCCTCAAGGCCCCCGCCCCGACACTGACGCTGGGCCGGGGCACAGGAAAAGGCCAATCCTGTAGCCCCAAGGTCAGGACGGGTCAGGGAGTCCGCGACGGGCGACCGACCGCCGCCGAGGGAGGGAAAGGGAGGGAGGGAGGAGAGTAGGGGAAGGGGAGAAGCGGAGAACCGGCGGCCACGACCCGTACCGTCCACACCGGTACCGGCAGGAAGTGATGACACCAATGACGCTGAGCGCCCGCCGGAAGTGACGAGACGGCGGGAAGGCGGATTCGCCCGGCAGAAGCTGCATACAGGCGCGAAGACGGCAGCGCGCAGGCGCTAGAGCACGCACGCTGAACGCGACACGCTAGCCCGACGCCTGTACGCACGGCTCCTGGCGGAGTTTTTGGCTCTGGTTCAAAGTCGGGACGCGGAGCTCTCAGCTGTCACTCCAGAACTGTGGTGGCCATGCAGTTTCCGGGCAGTTGCCAGGTGCGAAAGTGGGTACTGCTCGCCTGAACCTGGCGGCCTGTGTGGGGTTTGCACCAAGCCGTTCAGCCGGTTGGACTGTGCTGGGTATGTGAACGTCTACCTCTCGTTGTTCCCAGCGATGACCCAAACCTGCAAACACTAGGAACTTTTTTTCATCCCTAACAGTTTTATAAGGCAGCTCCTCCGGGATTGTCTACAGGACCTTTAAGTACATTCCCCAGCCACGTAACATTTCTCCATTGCTAGTATTTTAGACGGGCTTTGTGACTTTAAATACAGTTAATTTCAAATTACTTTTTTTTTTTTTGAGGCCTTAGAAGGACTCTAGAACGGTGGTCCTCAAATTCTTTGATGAAATACATCAGTAAAGCTTGAGTTCCCATTCCCAGTATACGGATAATAATATGTAAGTTCAGTTAAGTTTAGTTGCTCAGTCGTGCCCTGAGCAAACCCCATGGACTGCAGCACATCAGGCCTCCCTGTCCATCACCAGCTCCCGGAGTTTACCCAAACTCATATCCATTGACTTGGTGATGCCATCCAACCATCTCATTCTCTGTCGTCCCCTTCTGCCCTCAATCTTTCACAGCATCAGGTTTTTTAAAAATGAGTCAGTTCTTCCCATCAGGTGGCCAAAGTATTGGAGTTTCAGCTTCAACATCAGTCCTTCCAGTGAACAGTGAACAATGAACAATGAACAGTCAGGACCAATCTCCTTTAGGATGGACTGGTTGGATCTCCTTGCAGTCCAAGGGACTCGCAAGAGTCTTCTCCAACACCACAGTTCAAAAGCATAAATTCTTCAGTGCTCAGCTTTCTTTATAGTTGATCTCTTACTTCCGTACCTGACTACTGGAAAAACCATAGCCTTGACTAGACAAACCTTTGTTGGCAAAGTAATGTCTCTGCTTTTTAGTATTCTGTCTAGGTTGGTCATAATTTTCCTTCCAATGAGTGTCTTTTAATTTCATGGCTGCAGTCACCATCTGCAGTGATTTTGGAGCCCCCAAAAATAAAGTCTGCCACTGTTCCCACTGTTTCCCCATTTATTTGCCATGAAGTGATGGGACTGGCTGCCATGATCTTAGTCTTCTGAATGTTGAGCTTTAAGCCAATTTTTCCAGTCTCCTCTTTCACTTTCATCAAGAGTCTTTTTAGTTCTTCACTTTCTGCCATAAGGGTGGTGTCATCTATCTGCATATCTGAGGTTATTGATATTTCTCCCAGCAATCTTAATTCCAGCTTGTGCTTCATCCAGCCCAGCATTTCTCATGATGTATTCTGCATATAAGTTAAATAAGTAGGGTGACAATATACAGCCTTAACATACTCCTTTTCCTATTTGGAACCAGTCTGTTGTTCCATGTCCAGTTCTAACTGTTGCTTCCTGACCTGCATATAGATTTCTCAAGAGGCAGGTCAGATGGTCTGGTATTCCCATCAGAGTTACATACATGTTAGTTCATAGGCAAAACTAGGAATACTAGAATCTATAAGTGTAATAGAAACACTGGTGTTTTCTTCTGCAGGCTGCCCACTTTGTATATCCCTGCATGGTGTGACAAGTGTAATTTGAAGGATTGCTCATACAAAACCTGTTATGAGCAGGAAAGGTCCTTTCCCTGGGCAACTTGTTTCTTTCCTTTGAAATTGGTTAGAATGTCAACCGAAACAGCAGAGATTTTTGCAGCCACTTCACTGATTTATCCTCAAGGCCGTGATGTCATGGCACATATCAACACATATTTAGTCAGCACAGATGTCTCTGAATGGTTCCTTCTGCATCATCTTTTTGTGGTAAACATGTGTCTTCATTCAGGTGTCAAACTGATCACTTGCATGGAGACTTGAAATGCTTCCCTTTTCTATTTCTTCAGCCTTTTGTTCGTTCATCGGTACGACAGCACTTACTGTGTATGTTTTCAGTTATCTTTCCTTCTCTCTGTGCCAGCTCACCTTGTGGTCGAACACACAGGTACACACACTCCTTTCTCGTTTAATGGCTTTCTCATCTTTGTACTCCAGTCCCAGGAAAGTCAATAGCATTTATTTTATGTTTAAAATTGTTTTTGCTGTATACTTGCTTTACAATGTTGTGTTAGTTTTTGCTATACAACAGAGTGAATCAGCTATCCTCATTCAGTCTGACTCTTTGCCATCCCATGGGCTGTAGCCCACCAGGTTCCTTGTCCATGGAATTGTCCAGGTAAGAATACTGCCACTTCCTGCTCCAGGGAATCTTCCTGCCCCGGCGATCAAACCTGTATCTCTTTCATCGTCTGCATTGGCATGCAGATTCTTTACCACTGGAACCATCTAGGAAGCCCCAAGTCAGCTGTACTTATATGTATATCGGGGGCATCCTAGGTGGCTCAGTGATAAAGAACCCACCTACCTGGCAGGAGACTAGGGCTCAATCTCTGGGTTGGGAAGATCCCCTAGAGAAGGAAATGGCAACCCACTCCAGTATTCTTGCCTGGGAAATCCTATGGACAGAGGAGCCTGGCAGGTTACAGTCTATAGGGGTCACAAAGAGTCAGACCCAGCTTAGCAACTAAACAGAAACAAGAAGTACATATATCACCTCTTTTTCAGATTTCCTTTCCAGTTAGAGTGAATGGCATTTCGTGAATGCTGGACAGATGATTATTTATTAAATTTCTACATTACTGATGGAGATAAATATAAAACACAACTCCAATTAGAACAACTAATTAGTAAAATATTAACATATGTCCATTTGTAGTTCATTGTGTGTAGGTAAGCCTACAGCTGAAAACTGCCTTGTATCCAAAACAAAAGGTATAATTCCTCCTCATTTGTATTCTGAGTTCTAAGAGTATAATGTATGGTGGTCAGTTCCGTGGACTTCAAAGTCAGTTTAATATTAGAAGACAGACTACTGCAATTATTATAATTAACCACATTAAAGACATCCCTGGTGGTTCAGATAGTAAAGAATCTGCCTGCAATGCAGGAAACCCAGATTCTTTTTTTTGTTTGTTTTTTCATTTATTTTTATTAGTTGGAGGCTAATTACTGTACAGTATTGTAGTGGTTTTTTCCATACAGTGACATGAATCAGCCATGGATTTACATGTGTTCCCCATCCTGATCCCCCGTCCTCCCTCCCTCCCCATCCCATTCCTTTGGGTCTTCCCAGTGCACCAGCCCTGAGCACTTGGGAGACCTGGATTCTATCCCTGGGTCGGGAAGATCCCCTGAACAAGGGAAAAAAGCTGGCTTAAAACTCAACATTCAGAAAATGAAGATCATGGCATCTGGTCCTGTCACTTCATGGCAAATAAATGGGGAAACAATGGAAATAGTGACAAGTCTTATTTTTCTGGGCTCCAAAATCACTGTAGGTGGTGACTGCAGCCATGAAATTGAAAGATGCTTGCTCACTGGAAGAAAAGCAATGATAAACATAGACAGCATATTAAAAAGCAGAGACATTTCTTGGCCAACAAAGGTCTATATGGTCGAAGCTGTGGTTTTTTCCAGTAGTCATATATGGATGTGAGAGTTGGACAATAAAAAAGGATGAGTGCCAAAGAATTGACGCCTTCAAACTGTGCTGTTGGAGAAGACTCTTGAGCGTCCCTTGGACTGCAAGGAGAACAAACCAGTCAATCCTGAAGGAAATCAACCCTGAATATTCACTGGAAGGACCGATGCTGAAGCTGAAGCTTACTTTGGCCACCTGATGCAAAGAAATACACATTGGAAAACACCCTGATTCTGGGGAAGATCAAAGGCAGGAGGAGAGGGAATGACAGAGGATGAGATGGCTGGATGGCATCACTGACTCAATGAATATGAATTTGAGCAAACTCTGGGAGATGGTGAAGGACAGGGAAGCCTGGCGTGCTGCAGTCCATGGGTTTGCAAAGGGTCAGACATGACTGAGTGACTGAACGACAACAAAAAAACCACAATAAAAGACTGAAAAAAATGATATCAATATTTCATTATATTGTGCAGAAAACTCTAGATAAAATTTAATGTGCATTCATTCATGATAATAGCTGTTAGATACCAGAACTAGAAGGAAACCTTCTAAACCTGATAGAATATCTGAAAGAAACATCACACATAATGAAAAACTTAAAGCATTTCCTATTAGGTTAGATATGAGATAAGAGTGAGTACCACTATCACTCCAAAACAGCACCGAACTAGATGTTTACATAACCCTAAAAGGCATAAATGTTGCAAAGAAAATTACAAACCTGGTATTATTTAAAGATTATTTTGGAGATTATATATAAAGAAAAATCTATACCTTTTTATATTTAGATATTTTTAAAGACCTAGTATAAATCATTTGAATTAGAGTTTAGCAAGTTTGCTGGATTTTTTAAAAAAAATACAGCAAAAGCAATTGCATTCCTATTTCTATGCAGCAAACAGGAAATGTAATTTTAAATTATGCTATAA